CAGTAGACAAAGTCTCTATTGTGTGAAGCTGATATGGAGCCCTTCAATGGCAATTTATACTACAATCGTCAAAATTGCTGTATGCATGCATTATGTCCTTAAAATTAACACTCCAAATAAAAGACACCTTGCCATAAGGTTGATCTGGTTATGTAGCCTTTGCGTAAGGGAACTGTTATTGTCCTACCTTACTGGAACTCCACTGTGGTAAGTAGAGTTAAATGTACACCTGTATGATCCCACATTGTGTAGGTAACTAATGAAATGATGTATAGTCACTTTCCACAGAGTCCACACTTAACACAAAGTTCAGGGGGGGGAGAAAAGAAAAAAAGGACCCATAGCTGCTGAGTCAGATGTATGCACTCCTACGCCTGGCATCCCACATCCCATCCCATGTGTAGCTAACTAATGAACTGTAGTATAGTCACTTTTCCACGAGTCCACACTTAACCACAAAGTTAAGGGGGAGAATGATTGTCCATGTTTGAAAAGAAGTGACTCACCTACTCTTCAGTCAGTCTCCCTGTCTTTGGGTATGTCTGGAGAAGGGAGGGAAGACAGAGAGAGAGAGAGATCAAACAGTCTCTACCATGTGTTGAGGTGTTAGTATATAGACTCTTTCATACTATTCATGTCTTTCAGTGTAGTATAATATACCTAGGTATACAGTGTATGTAGCTAATATAGGGTCCAAAGGTGAGGTGGGACCACACTAAAGCTGGCTGCTGGGAATGAGACAATTCAACAGATAAAAAGGACCCACATCCCTGTAAAGCACACATTACAGTAGCTACACAGAAGACTTTTGCTGGCACTGTGTCCACGGTGTTACACCACCAGCATGCAGTGTGCAAGCAAACAGTTATGAACACAGATGCCCTAAGTCAAATTTTTGTCTAGCGGAAACTTGCTTGCTACGAAACAACTACAACATTGAAGTTTGCATCTCTTGCATGCAGTAAAAGTTCACCATAGCTGAGGATGGTGAGTACCTTCATCAGGAACTTGAGAGTTCTGGTCAGCCGTCTCTGTGGTTGTGACTCTCTTTACCAGTGGATGTCGCTGCAGCGCTCCAGAATCTTGTCCTGTGACCCCCCTCCCGACAGTCGGAGTAAACTGAAGTCGCTGGGGTACTCTGCCGGGTTGGAGCGGGTACCACACTCCACCCCCAGGTACGGTTGAGTGACGCAGCGAGGTAGCCGTCTCGAGCCTCAGTCGTATAGTAGCTGGTGTAAACATCACTATGTATTCGGTATTGAAGGACAGTTTCAGTCATGTGACAAATCTGAAGGACGTGATTGGTCGAAAGTCACATCACAAACACACGAAGAGTATATTGAGAGGTTTTTAGAGCCCAGCAAAAAGCAGATCACAATTTCTTTGACGATACGTACAAAACATCATTAGAGCTGTTGCCATAAAGAGTACATAGGTGCATATAAATGTATGTACATCAGAAGGCTGCCTAGTCACACGTATATACACTAGCCATCACATACAAATGGGAAGGCCTTTTAGCTCACAGAACAATCTGCAAGGTATATACCTATTATGAGCATATCTATTAGCTTGCATTGCGGGCATAGGCCTCGAGTCATTACATGCCTGCAGGTAGCAGGTCCATTCACACCATCTGGCCATAAACTTGAATAGATACAGTCTGTGTGTGTGTGTGTGTCCTTGTGGGTGTGGGTTGAGATGTGACAACAAAGACAGGTTCTTGTGTCTTGGCTAACAGTCAATAATGTGTACGCTGGGAACAGCGCTACATTTAAGTAATGCATACATGGGTGTGGAAAATGATATGAGACAGAGTAGGGAGAGGGTAAGGTGGGGGAGACACAGTGTGGCGAATGCACACAATCACAGTCACGCCTCAGTGAACCACACTTAGTGTGCAGTCAAGTGGACCGAGAGGCCTACAAAGTGGTTCTCCTATGTGGTGGCTTTAGTATTGACTGGGGGCCCACCAACTGGGGGAGTGTGCACATAGCAGCAGTTAATTAATGGATATCTTAGTCCAATTGCATAGTATTATATAGCTTTGTAAGGCATGGTCTTTGTGGTAGCTTGCCAATGGCAACGCTGGTGGTCTTGACTTGAAGGGTGGTGCAAGGTTGGGCTGAATTCATAGGGAGTTTGGAAGGGAAAGAAGGGCTGGGAAGGGAGAGGAAATAAGGTGGGAGAGAAGAGGGGGAAGGGAGATTTTTGCTCACCGCTCTCCACCACTGAGCTGGAGAACTGAACAGTCGGAGCAGGTTGGTTGCCGAGTGAGGGAGAGAGAGAAGAGGGGTCGAACGGTTCTGCAGCCACCAGCGTGCTGTTGTAGCAGTGACCGTAGGACGGGCCCTGGCCGAGGCCAGGAGTGCCGGCACCGTCAGCAGCACGCACCACCACTCACACATACTGCTGCAGCAGCTAGTGGGAGGGAGGGGCAGGGAAAGAGAGCTTGTCACAAAAACACCACACAGTACCGCACCGTTTCACCATATGCATGCTAAGGGGTCAGAAGCCAAAAAGGAAATCGTGCATATACAGTGGCAAGAAGGCATTCGAAGGACTCGAGACTGATCTTCCTTACCGTGAAGGTTAGAGCAAACACTCGTCCAGAGGGTCGACCGGCGAATAGGATCGGTTCGGGGGATGCGCACGCTCTTGGCGGTGATTTCCGTACCCCCGGCTATGGAAACACACTTGAGCCCGTTTCTCCCCACAAAAACGACGGCACACACATCAATCACTTCTGCAAAATCCACTCATCATTGTGGCCACGCCCACAAAATCAAGTTTATCAACGGTCAAAGGTTGACACGCACGCCCGCGAGAGTTGTGCGAGTGCCTGCCCCGCCCTCAGATCGTTTGCGGCATGGCAGTAAACAAAGCCATGTCGGCGACAGGAAGACGGGTTTTGTCGCAAGCCCGTATTGCCAGCAGGAAGGTAGTGCTGCTGAGGGAGACAACACCACACACCAGACCTACCTGGTGGAGAATTGGGAAAGGTTAGCTCGCCTGTGAACCACTAAATTTACCTTTTCTCTCTTCCTTTCGCCCACAGTGCGTGTGTGGCGGTGCATTGGCTCTGCCTGTGGGGCTCTACTTTGCCTCTCGCGTCTCCTTCCCTCGCCCCCCGACTGGAGTGTTCTCTCCAGCCATGGCTGACTGCACCACGCAGCCGTTAGTGTCAGAGATAGTGGCTCGTGCTGATGAGCTCTACGAAGCCAACCAGATGAGAGAAGGCCTCAGCTACTTGAAACAGTACGCACACTTGGACGAAGTAGAGGTGACACTCCTTGCATTGGACTATGCATACAATCACCCTTTATCAGTTGGTTTGTGTATGAGAGAAACTTGACACTGAAACAATTTCAATTCTTGGACTCAAACCCTACAGCGTCAGACTTTTCTCTATCAAATGCTTCCCACTCTTCTCTTCTTCAATTCCCCACGCCCTCCTCTAACTATAGGTGTTATGGCGACTGGCGCGGCTCTGCTACAAGGCAGGGAAGTACCAGACGGAAGTTCAGGAGGAGAAGAAGAGACTGGCAGGGGAGGGGTGGAGCTACATCGAGAGAGCTCTCGCCGCCGGAGGAGACAGACACAACGGGTGCAGACGATGGGCCGGGATCTTGCTCAGCTGGTCCAGCGAGTTTGAGGGAATCAAGAAGAAGATTGAGAAAGGTTTCGAGATCAGAGATCATTTCCTAGTGAGAAAATTTGCACGTCTCTTACACAAAAGACTTGGGAGTTAGAGACATTTTGGCACCAAGTGAAATCTGAATGAGGGACACCTTGTGCATGAGAGTGTCCCAATTCACTCAGACGTATGGATGTATTGGTATGTGGCAGAACCAGGTGTACCTGAAGGTCTTATACAGCTCTATTATCCACTCACGTTTGCTTGCAAGTATGAACAGTATGTTTCTTGTCAGAGTGCCATAGAGTGTGATGCAAAGGATGCTACCAGCATGCACCTGTTGGGCCAGTGGTGCTACTCTGTGGTGTCTGTCCCCTGGTACCAGAGACAGGTGGCCAGCGTCTTCTTTGCCACTCCACCACAGTCCACCTATCAAGAGGTAATACATATACACACATTTGGTCCTTCCATGATCCGTGCGAAATAGGCTGTTGGATAATCAATGTGGAAACTGCATTTTTTAAATCCACAATCGAAAATCGTGAGTATTTTGTTCTCCTGCAGGCGCTGTCATACTTTGAAGCTGCAGAAAAAGGTATTGTAGTAATTTTAGGTCGACACACGCTTTGTTAGAATTGAGATGGGACTGCATGTTTTGAGACGGTGTGTTTTGGGTGAAGCACTTTCTTCTTCGTGTTAGGTTTAACCCCCCAACTATATACATCCAGCTGACCCAGGGTTCTACATGGTCAACTGGCTGTGGATTGGCAAGTGTCACTTGGCTCTGGGCAAGAGGGAGGAGGCAGAGCCATGGCTGGAGAAAACGGTCTCATATGAAACCACTCTGGAAGAGGAGCTGGAGGTATTATATATAATACAGCGCACTATAATTATACAGTGAAACCTCCAATAAAGGACTCCTCCCCAATAAAGGACACCTCTCTGAAAAGGACACTTGGTTCTTTCTGTCTCTTATCCTCAAATAAGGGAAACGTCTGGACTTCAGAGTCCCAATTCAGAAGTTAACCTGTATGTACACTCAAGCTCTTATATAGCATCATCTCCACTGTGTTCGGTAGCAAAACCTTGTCTCTATTTTATATAGGCAAAGAAAGAAGCAGCAGAGCTCCTTAAGAAGTTGTGACATTCATTTTCAGTTCTTCCGACACAGTAACAGGAGATAATTTTGCATCAAACCTTTCTCTCAGCATAATTTATTTTTTCTACTTTGTTTCATCATAAAAACCCGTATATAATGTTGTGGTGATGAAATACTGTATGAGCCATATTATACGCAGTGTGACAATGAAATGAGAATAGATATAAATCAGCTACTGCTACCTTCAGTAGTACCAGGTGTACCCTCTAGTTCTCCCAGTCTCCCCTGTTCTCGCTCTATCTCTGCTCGGTGAGCCGGACTGAGATCCAGGATCTCGGCCACGGTAAAGTGCTTCCTCTTGTTGAGCGGCTGGCAGCTCCGTATCATTACCAGGTCCCCCACGCGACACGATGACTCAGGGTCGTGACATAGGTACTTCTTACGACGCTTTACGTACTGAGAAAAAGCAGGTGGTATGTAAAGGCTTCGTCCATCGGTGTGACGTATGCTACTCACCTTCAGAACGTGTGGATGCAGTACCATTCTCGTGACTTCGACTTTGGCCGTCTTCATCATCTGCGTGCCGATTACCTTCCCCACAAACTGCGCCATGAACACGAGCAAGAGGGGAGAGATGAAAGAGAAGGCGGAGCATAACCACGCGGGTTTGCGCATGCTCAATAGGAAAAAAATGCGCATGCTCAATAAAAAAAGCCGACTTCATTCGTACAATAACGTTCAGAAATCAGGTCTGCATGTTTGGTTTGGTTGAGGAGATATCAGCGTGTTGTCTGGTGCCACTTCTGCTTGAAGTTTGATGCTCACCTGTATAGATACACAGTCATAGTCTCATAGAGTATATATGCATGTGATGTGTTGCAAATCACTCTATCTATCTATCTATCTATACCTCTTCAGCCTCCTGGAAGACTCTAATGATGTTGAGGCGAGCAACCTTAGCCACATCGCTGTCAGAATATCCTCTCCTCAATAGCTCTGCAAAGAGAGCTGGATATTTGGAAACGTCTTCCAGCCCATACGGAACCCTATTATCAGCAATCACAATGAGAATTTTCTGGGCCACAGATTCAATCTCCTGAGCTTACATACCTATCGATTCCATCATAGTCAGCCCCAATGCCAATATGGTCAACACCTGCTACACTGCAAATGTGATCAATGTGGTCTGCAGGGGAAGTGAACATTGGCCAACGAAATACTCTGTGAATCAAATTTGACTGGTGAGGACTGCATATATTCTCACCAGCGACTTGTTCCAGCGAGGCCGTGCTGCTACAGTTGATGAATCCAGGGTAAAAATTAACCATCACAACGCCACCATTGGCTGGCTACAATAAAGAGAGGTTTGAGAAATCTGTGTAAACCATACTATATAATTATGCTTGCAAGAATCATACCATTTTCATCAGGATATTGTCGGGAACGTTTCGAGAATTATTGCACAGAGCATATGCTGACGAGTGGCTGAATATAACTGCATGGCAATATGCAATAGAAAACAGATCTCACAAAGGTATTAAACATAGTGTTTGCATTACCAGGAGCTTTGCTGGTGGCAAGGACATCACTCATGGTGTAGTTATTGACGTGAGAGATATCAACCAACATTCCTAGTCTGTTCATCTCCAACACCACTCTCTATCACAGGGTAATCACTAGAGTGGCTCCGCACTAAGAAAGTGTCTCACCCTCCCGAAATCTGTGAGGCCATTACTAGTAGTATCTGTAGAGCTATGGGCCCTGAAAAATGATATATACAATCATACTACTACTGAGTTGTGAATGGGATATGAAAGCTAACCAAGGAGTGTTGCAAGTGTGGGTGAGTGTCATGTAGCGAGCTCCCAGCTCATACAGCTGTCTCAGAGTCCCTAGACTGCTGCTAATGGCATGGCCTCCCTCCACACCAATTAGTGACGCAATCTGCACAACAAATCGGCTTAGGGACAGCGACGTAACACTTCCAACAGACTTTATTGGCTGGAACAGCCAGTTCCATGTCTTTGGAAGTGGTTGCCCACAAGAACGTGGACGTGTAGTTCTGCACAAAGCGTTTGATGACGTCCATCTGATCAAGAAACGTTCTCGTGGCATCTTCTCTGTGCGGCTCTCCACAGCCCATGTAGGCCGACCAAAACTGCACAAAGGAACACGAGTAAAAGTAGCCCAGCTGTTGTGCACTATAGGAAGAGTGTAGTATAGGCTGAACCTGTCCGCCAACGTGCCCAGCCCTCAGTCTTGGAATGTCGGTCTGCCAAGCAACTCCATACTGGCCTGACGTGTTTTTCAGCAGGTCAATATCCCCCAACTGGTTCTTGAAGTTCGCCCTCAGCTCGTACGCCAAGTCGTTGTGCCTGCAACACCCATAAACGCAGATGCATTGTAGATATACTAGGTATATACGTAGCTTAGCTAGCTAACATTGACAAATTGGTTCACAAACCCATCAATGACGGGGTATTCCGCAAGTAGATCCTCCGCACGGGTCATAGGGTCGCTGCTGCGTCCGCCGCCGACGGAGGAGAGGCCCACACTCAGCCCAACCACGAGCACCAGGACCGCAGCGGCCAGAATGATGCCGAGGAAGACGAAGTGCGAGCGACGGGACTCCCTTCGGCTGTCGATCGTGGCTGCGGACGGACTCTCATCTGCAGCTGTATCAGACGAACCGAGTAGTTGGCTGGCGTCAAGGGCGTCCGATTCCTCGTCGCTCATGCTGTTTCGACTCCGACGGAGAAGTCGCAGCATCAAGGTGGGCTATAATAATATAGCTTATAGGTCAACATTGCGCATGCGCAAATATATGTACTTCGAACTTTATTGCTGTGTGCGCTTATTAGAATTCAGCCCTTGCGAAAATTCACCGTTCTCCCCGTCTCGTTCTCCGACGATGCTAGCGTATAGACTCAGTGTATTAGGACTAATAGTCGTGTCGTTGTGCGTCCTTAGCAGCTACTGCACCTCGGAGACGGCCGGATCTGACGGGGAGACGACTGCAGATGACGTACCAGTGAAAGAAAACTCCGAGAAGGGATCAGTAGGCGGTGGTAAAACTCAACCAGAGAAGCTGGTCGTGGCCTTTGTACCTGACTACCCGTCCAAGTAGGCAGAACACCCCCCACCACAACAGCCCCCCGATTTTATCTTTATTTCTTTCACAGGATTGTCCATCCTGGGATGCTGGCTAATACGACCCACTTCATAATGGTAATGCAGTACATTTAGCCTCCATAAGACTCTGTATGTATTAGCTATTGACTGTGAGTGCTACTGCCACGATGCCTGCAGTTCTATGCGTCGTGGTGCTCTCATAGTGACTCAGCCCTCCCGCATTTCAAGGACACTCTACAGCACGTGGTCGACCAGAACATCACTGGACTCCATCTCGGGAAGATCGAGATCAATAAAAATCCAGGTGGGCTCAATGACGTAATGTTTACCTATAATTGATTGACCCGGGTTTGTTACACCTGCAGGTATTGTCAAGAATTTCAAGATTCGATCAACCCCAACCTTTATCATGTGAGTCCTCCGCATAAAACACACCCTTTTTAAAGAAAACTTGGTTCTTTGCCTCATCCCTGATTAAAGGGCACTTTTAATGACCCAGATGTGTCAGAATCTTCAAGTTTTTTTCGGAGGTTCGACCGTCTTTTATGTCTCTCCCTCTTTGGCCCCTGTGTGTAGGTATCATCGCGGTGCCAGATACGTGTACAGTGGAGAATTGTCTTCTCGTCATCTCGTCGGCTTCCTGCACAGAGTCATGGCGTAGGTCACCTCCACAACACAACCACACACTCTATAACTATACTCCCTCTCCCTCTTGTCCCTTCCTCTCTCCACTATAATTATATACCACTAATATACAAATCTAGTGCCTTTTCTATAGCACTTACTTCTCTTGGAAAACGAAAGAAATTGTTTGATTTCACAATTGACACACCTACAATTTATTCTGTATCTTACACATCTTCATCTATTCATAAGAATTCAAACTCCTTACCTCTCACTCCAGTATAAACCTGGCAGAGGTTTCATCGGTGCGAGAGCTGTCGGAGGTACAGAGAGACCACCCAGTGGTCTTCCTGGTGGTCTACGACGGTCAGACCGACCCGGACTGGCACCACACCTACTCCACTGTGGCACAGGAGAGGGGACTACTGGCCAAGTTCGTCTTCACCACAAAGACTGATCTGGTGCAGGTACATATAAAACCGTACACCAAAGTTCATGAGTATCTGTACCATAGTGTGTAAAAATTTCATGGGATATCGTAAATCTTTACCGACAATCGGTAAAATTTGAGTTGCTGCCCATAACATTTTGTGCCCTTTGGTGCATTGAGGTGAATGTATAAAGTTTCACTGGATGCTTACACTTGTATTATCATTCATTATACATAGGATCTCAATGTGACAAAGTTCCCCACACTGCTGGTGATGAAAGATGGAGGTGCCCATAAGTTCTCAGGTACATGGTACATACACTGTACAGTTAGTATATACTCCACCACCTCCTAAACTAGCCCTAAACTTTGAGAGTTATACATCTGAGCATTTCTCTTCGACTCAGATCAGGTGTGTGTCTAACTTTCCTAGGCCAGTGTGTGTGTGTGTGCACTCGTGTGTTTGTGTGATACTGTTGCATTCTGCAGATTCACTGTCCACCCACAACATTGGCAAATGGGTCTCACGTGAGAGGTATATAATATGTACAGTAGTATATAGCATCATAGATACATAGATGCATGGGGATATGTTGTGCAGTTTTGTTCATCTTCATTGGCTAGTGTGCGTCTTACCCTCTCTCTCTCTCTCTCCTCAGACACCCCGCGTTCCCCAAAGTGAACGAGGAGACTTTTCGACCGTTCACTAACTTAGTCCTAGGTCAGTATTATACTACTGCATGGTGACCATTACAGAAGAGTCTGCTATATTATTATTGGTTGTGTTGTGTGTGCAGGGTGTAAGTTGGTGGTACTGCTGGTCCACGATGATCTCAATCAGCAGAGAATCACAGAGAAGAGGCGAGTCATCTATAATAATGACAAACAAAGCCTATACTTATTTTTTTATTTATACACGTGACACTGCTCATATCAGAATGCTATGAACCTGCCTATTACCGTTGCCTCCCTTCCTCTCTCCACACACACACAGACTGATTGACACTGTTAGGAGAGTGGCTGAAAGCAGAAAGGTGTTCCCGTGAGCTCGTCTTTTCCCAAGTGAAAATGAGTAATCTCTTTTCTCCAACAGTCAGTACCAGTTTGTACAGCTGACCAGTGTACCACTGGCTGAGAGGATTCTTCAATCACCGTACGTATGAATATATACAGTAGCAACTTTCGAATGGAGAACTTAGCAGTCAAATCGTGCATACATATGTATGTATAGTAGGAAACTTTGAAGGAGTAAACTTGCGAATTTCGTAGTTTTTGGAACGTTTCTCACCTGAAGTTTGTCGATGTTTACGGACGTGGAAATCGACTCTCTCCACTCACTCACAGGGTTCCTGAGGTGCCGAGTCTCTTTATCTACGACCCACTTACCGGACAGTACTACCCCTTCCAGGTATGTATGTCTAATATGTCTAATATGATACAGTGTTGAAATAGATTATTGTGAATGATCCAAATACTGTGTGTGTGTGTGTGTGACAGTCAGGAGATGATGGTAAGGGAGTGACAGAGGAGGGCATAAAGGACTTCTGTAAGGCCGTGAGACGAGGGAAAATAGAGGTGCATAAGCTTACTACTTACATCCGTGTACATTATGACTGTTGAACCTGCCTCTATATCTCCAGCCTCTAGGTGGTGGCAGGTCAGTGTGGACCGTTTTTGGATCTGTGAGTTTGGATTTTTCCATTAACGTAGCATCTCATAGTTTCCTTTTTCCCCTTCAGTGGTGGACAAGACTGCACACCGTATACCAGGTATACATGTATACATGTCTCATCACTCGACCTTCTTTCAATCCGAATCCAGCAGGATAGAAGTCTCATACACTGTGGGCTAAACTTTGGGCATCACTCTACATGTATGATACGGTGTGCAACCTTGCTACAGGACACCTCTCTATAAAGGACACTTGGTTCTGCCCCATACTTGTGCAAAGCTCCCTCCAAAATGAATAAATGGCACTTTTGGTGTCCCTAAGTGTCCCTTACTCAGAGTCAGAGGAGGTTTCACTGTATGGGAAGACACGTCAATCATTCACATTCCCACACAGGCAATGACGATCCACCACCCCTGGCTGTCAGTGGGTGCAGGGTTCAGCCTCTGCTCCGTTGCTGTCTTCTACACCGTCACCTGTCTCAGACGACCTCTGACCCCACGGCCGGGGAGAGGGCGGAGGAACGCACAGGCATCAGCTGCTCGAAGTAAGGCAAGGAGACGGCAAATGAAACTGGCTGCTGAGCAAGGCGCCGAGCAGCGTAATGGCAGTGCCGTGAGAAGACGAACAAAGCACAAACAAGAAGAGAAGGAAGAGGGAGAGGAGGGGGCATTAAATGGAGAGTCGGAACAAGATTCATCACATGACAGTAGCGATGATACTCATCATAAACACAACTCATAACAACTAAATTTAGAATCGATCTGACCATCAATTTTTACAATAATTTGGTGCTTTTTACATGACTGCTGTTGTAGACATAAAATTTCTGATGACACAACATTGACATAATATTATCTTAGTGACATCATCTGGTGACAATGTTTGCAATGTGTCTGTGAGGTACCACAATCACCCTCCCCACCTCTCCCTCTTCCCCTATCTACTAGCACTCCTCCACGGCACCCTCACCACCTCCCTACTCAGGTCCTCCGAGTCCACCAGGTGGCTTGGCAGTGAGAGGACGGCTCGTTTTCTACCATTCACCTGCAGCAGTATAGAATAGTGGTCACACGTATATATTGGCTATCCACGACAAAAAGACTAGTAGTTTAGGAAAACGACAAAACTTGCCGATCTACAAAACCTTAGTTTGTCATGCAATTCCCCCTGAATCCTCCACCACCCTCTTTTCTACTGGTGTGATTATAGTGTTGCAGTATCCTATTATGCAAATGTCATTCTAGAATGTGCGTTTGGTAGAGGCGAGAGAATGAGGACGTGTTACCTGTAGCACAAACTCAACAGTGTCAGTTGGTCTGTTCGGTAGTGACTCATCACACTGTGGCCATGGTTGGCTCAACACATCTCCCTATATAATGCACACCAAACCACATCCCTATATAATGCACACCAAACTATTAAACCTACCATATGGTACGTACGTATTCTAAAAGAGATTATGTAGGTGACTGTTAAAGTGTGCATAAAATCTCCTTTCTAACTCTCATATATACCTTGATTATAGGTAAGCCAAGCACTCGTCGGACTCCTTGAAGATCTATACACAAACACTAACACTAACAATGAGGCATATTCCATTTGAAGCCCACTTGCCTTCCCAGAGCTGTGCGGTGACGTGAGGAGCCATTGGTGCTAGCAGCAGACACAGCGTCTCCAGGGCGGAGTGGTAGGCGGGGCTTCCATTCAGGCTCCGCCCATCTCGGAGAGTGTTGCTGAGGATCATCAGCTCCGAGACGGCCACATTGAAGGTGTGTCTCTCTGTGAAAGATGCTGTCACCTGTACATCACATTTCATCTTTCAACATTGTCGGTTAAAACTTTCAGTTTTCGTTTCCAAACCAAAACTTTCTGCATACACGTGAATTGATTCACAGCAGTGCATACAGTTTAAGTATACAGCTGAGCATACACTCTGCTCATGTGTGGAGTTTTATTGTGCACAGTAAACACACCAAATGAGCCTCTATGTACTTTTCTCTCACTCTCTCCTCACCTCCTGAATAGCTCTATGAGTTGCAGAAACAATCTTCTGCTCTCCTCCTTCATCCCCCTCCTCCTCCTCCTCCTCCTCCTCTCTCTCTCCTCGTCTTTGGCACACCTCGACATGCTCATGAGTCAGAGTCCACACTCTTCCCAGCCATCTCAACATTCCACGGATGGCTACATTGAAACCCCCAAAAACCACATCTTGATACACAGCTGGAACTCTCAGGGTAATAATTTTGCAGATTAGGCATGCGTGGCACAGTATAACCCACGTATTTGCCAAATTCGAAACTTTTTGTCACGAAAGTTTGTGGTCAACAGTAAAAATTTTTAACTTTTGCCCAATTTATGAAGGAAAAAGCTTCCCGTCATGTACTTATGGAACTGAACCTTGTGTGTCCCACTGCATGTCGAGTTCAGGAGGAGCTTTGAACAACATGAACACTCTGACAGTGTCTGCTCCATACTCTCTTATCACATCCTTCAACACACACACCACACAGAGAGGGGGAGGGGGAGGAAAGGAAGAAGAGAGGGGAAGAAGAGAGGAGGGAAGGAGGGAAGAACCCAGGGCGAACAGAAGAGACAGGAGAGGTAGAGTGCAGGTCACATGTGAAACTGACTACCAACGTTGATGATCACCTCAGGATCCACACCATTATACTTTGACTTGGACATCTTCTCCCAAGATACCTTGACCTCATCATCATCTTCATCTCCCACCATCTCTCTCTCTTCTCTCTCCTCTGGCCTCAGGTAACGCCCAGAGGATCGCAGTCTGTAGGTCTTCCCTTGAACCATTCCCTAGTCGGATAGGAAGAGAAACACAGATGAGCCCCTCTCTAAGGACACCCCTGAAATGAGGACACCTCTCTAACAAGGACAACTTTCTCCCCCCGAGAACAGTTGTTGCATGCAATGGCACCCCTGAAATAATATAGACATTTTCTTCTGCCCTATTTGTGCGTCTGGATAAGGAGGGGTTCCCCAAAGTACGTACGTATGTACCTGAGCTAGTAGTTTCTGAAACGGTTCCTTGTGTGAGAGAAAGCCTTGGTCATGGAGGAAGTGAGTGATGAACCTGGCATACAGCAGGTGCAGGATTGCTGCAACACACACACACGTCACACACAGAAAATGACAAAACCATTGTGACATATTCATACTCCCATCTACCGTGCTCAACTCCTCCGACATACAGATCCACGGGCATCCACCTCCTCACAGCCTCAGAGAATGGCCTGCATAATGTATATACCATAAAATAACTAAGGAAATCGCCATCACACTGTTTCTTGGCTTTTGTACGTCACGCATGCCTCAAACCATGTTCACCAAACTTAATATTTCGCTTTGCAAAAGAGTTTCGCTTTCTTGAAAACAGTTGTGGTACGTATTATACTGGGTCTACGTGATGACTCACTTGTCATTGAGATGTGGATCAATGAAGCGGAGAAAGTACCAGGAGGAGTCGACAAACGTGTCCATGGTGTCTGTCTCTCTCCTCGCACAGCACGCAGGCCTGCACGATGAACATTGGTCTATGACATCACGTGCAGTGTTGACTACCCAGACCCCATCTTTTAGAACGTGTTTGCTGAACATTTGGTCTTTTGTGACATGGGTGGGGGAACGTACGTATGTAATTGTTCCCCAAGGTTCCCGCTATAAAGTGGCAAAATTTAAGAGATAAAATTTGTTGATTGGTAATTTTGGATGTTACATTTTAAGTCAGTACAAAAAGTATACATCTCCAAATGTGATGCTATGAAGCATACAGTAGGCCCAAGAAAGATAAGATCCTCTGTGACGTAATGTGGAAACGACAAAGAACTAACTTCCCACAGTCTCCTCTCAGCCAGGCCTCGTCCTGCGAGAGGGGGGAGGGGCCACGACCTTTGAACTCCACACCAGTGGGCAGAATGACTGGCAACTGAGTCTCGGGGACTGGAACCACCTGCGGACGGACACCAGGGGATAGGTTGGTGCTATCGAGGGAGACAACTTTCGTGTTTCGGTAGCAAAATGAATTTTATGGAGAAACGCTTTCCACAGATTGCTGGTCCTGCATTACAATATTACATACCGTACAAATTTAAAAGCGTATACTTCGCGAATTAATTTGTCTTCCGCAAACGGTAGATTTACTCCAGTTTTTACCCCACACTTGCGGCAGTGGAGGACAGGTATGGGGGCACCCCAGTAGCGCTGACGGGAGATGAGCCAATCACGTAGCTTGTACTGGGTCATGTGACCTCCGAACCCCTGGCTGTGGGCGGAGTTTACGATGGACTTTGACCCCTCTTCGACAGACAATCCAGAGAACTGAAGAGCAAACGTTAGGCCATCATAAAACCGATCACCAAATAGCTGTGGAACATACAGTGAACATGTGGCTTGTTGGGGACGTAGGAAGTGTCATGCACTACGAAACCTCGAGACACCTCGGGGACATTGACCAAGTGCCCTTTATATTAGTTAGTGGCGTCCCTTATATCATTAGTATGGGGCAGAAGTGTATATTCTTTTTCCCAGCTTTAAACTGTACATAATTATACATGTGGGATGGTGGTTTGTGTTGGTGACCTGGTAGGAATTGATGATGGAGAGACCGTCTGAACTGACAACCTCAGTGACTGGGAGAAGACGGTGCTCGGCCGCAACTGCAGATCCCGAGCATCGTGGGCTGGAACACCTTCAGAGGGAGGAGAGAGACTTCCCACACGATTGCCAGATTGCTTCTACTGCAGAAACACACACCGCGTATAGTGGGAGTTCTCCCCAAGGGAACCACAGTTTTAGATCCATTCTTGGTGAAACTGCGGATCAGTTGGACTAGCAAATTTCTTAGCAAAATTATTATGTTCTGGTATACACACAAGAAACCTGTCCAATGCTCTATATTATAACCCCACAGAAATGTATGGAAGCATAATGAATATGTACATGGTAGAAATGTACAGTACAGAGGCTAACCCATTACTGCCTTAGTTCCATAGTCAGAAACGACGTAGTCGGCCACATACACCGGTACTCCGGAACCAGTGAATGGGTGAACGGCATACAGACCTGAGAACACACCTACACACACACACACACACACACACACACACACATACACACATTCAGACAAAAACACATTTACTGCACAAAAAAATATACGAGTTGTATTCTAGGGTGAGAGCGAAAATTATGTGACACTAACATCCACTCCTACGTATTTCAGAATTAAAGTTTAACTCAACAATTAATAAACTGTTAGCACTGTCTGAGGTATTCAAAGTTGAATCAATCGCTCGAGATTATTGAATGGTACCTATATAAAACACACAGTATAATACCATGTTTGGAGCTGGAGTCATTGTTTGTGCTGTGGTGAGACAGTCTAGATCTCATCTCCTCCACAGTAGCCATCACCGACTCACTGAACAGCTGGCGACAGAGATAGAACCCACTTCAACATGGTCTTCAACGTGAAGAGGGGGCGCACGGCTTTTACACCATGCAGTTGACTCACGACGTCACATGCAAAGTTGGTGCTTCAAACCCACACACATGTTAACTACCAAGAGCACATGATAAATACGCTTCCACATTCTATAATGCACTATTGACATATACGTACATAATTAAAGGAGTTTGGCTACTGACTGAAATTGTTGTTTCATTAAGGTGTAATGTATTGTACCTCCGTCTTGAGCAAGAGGGGATGCTCTGGACTGACGGCTAGGAAGTTGACTCCAAACAGAGTTTCAGGTCTTGTGGTGAACACCCTCAGACTTGGCAGAGAAGAGGAGGAGGAGGAGGGAGAGGAGGGAGAGGAGGGAGAGGAAGAGGAGTGGTGGTGATCGCGAGTGTTCCTCAGTTGGAAGTCGAAGAAAGCTCCCTCAGACTTCCCGATCCACTCGGTCTGCATGAGCTTCACACTGGCCGGCCACTCCAGGGTCTCCAGTCCACTCAACAGTTGCTGGACGAAAAAAAAAACAGTCTCAATATCAAAGAACTAAAAAATGCAAATTTATTACAAACGTTACCTACAACAGGGCCCAGAGAAAGAAATCAATTCAGTTTCAATTTTCAATAATTTAGCTCCTATATAGAGTGCCACATTCTTGTTTTAAATCTTAAGGAGAATCACACAAGATATCACATACCTCGGCATAGTGGGTGATCTTGAAGAACCACTGCAGGAGGTATCTCTTCTCTGCCAGAGCCCCGGACCTCCATGACCGCCCCTCGTCGTCCACCTGCTCATTGGCCAGAACAGTCTTATCCACAGGGTCCCAGTTCACCAGAGCCTTGGGGAATGAAGACGACAACACTCCCTATCATAGCCCCATATACCTGTGATGCTACTATAGGTATATACCATACTTACATAGAGTGCATTAATTAGAGAACGTTTCGTGAAACGCACAGTTTTCGACAAACTTTATCTTTTAGCAGTGGCACAAGCAATCTGCAAAAGTTAGTCTGCTAATATACATGCTAACAAATTTTCATCCGTTGAAAGTTGTTACAGAGAAGTGGAAGTCGAAGTGAAGGACTTTACGAACCATGCACACTCACTCCCCTGTCCGTTTAACCCGTTGCTTCCTCACCTGTTTCTGGTAGGCGAGGCCTCGTCTGAACAGCTGCAGGAAGAGCCACTGAGTCCACTTGTAGTACTCTGGAGAACAGGTAGACAGCTCCTGCACAGAGACACACACACAGAGAGACCATTTTACCGTGAGACATGTAGTAGCACTGGGGTGTTTGGGAGTCTAACTGCCAGGGGACACGTAGATTACTAATGCCTCTACTTAGCTTTGGTCACGTGATAAAACTTGCTCGCAGAGAACACGGTAAAGGCACACAAGACAGAATGTAATGATTGTTTTGCGCTAAACTTGTTACCATGACTACTGTGGTGTGTCTAAATAGAGCCCACCCTGTCCCAGTTGAAGTGGAGTCCAAGGCTGGCCATCTGACCTCTCATGTTTGAGATGTTCCTGACAGATAAGTATATTTAGCTCACTGACGACACTGTGCGGGCATATTGGACACTTTGCACAGCAAGACACAAAACAATTCTACTTGATGTGGGCCTGAGTAGATTTGTAGGGAGTGTTATTACTGTTGAGTCCAAGAAGCAGGGTCGATGCCTCGCTCGATGGCAGCGTTCTCAGCAGGCAGTCCAAAAGCATCCCACCCCATCGGATGCAACACCTGTGATTGCAGTATGCATACAACTAATACACATTAAGAACGACCAGAAAAATAACAGAGACTCAGCAAACGAGATTTGTAAATTGTGTGAAAAGCATGCCAATTATATACGTAGTTATCTGAACTGTAATCTAACTCCCATGCAGGACATCTTCATGACCATCACATACTTACATAGCAAAAGTGTATGCACCATGGACTATGTTGTGCCAGCTTGCTGAATTGCATTCTAGTTACCTTCTTTCCGGACATGCGGTGAAAGTGTGCGATGGCATCTGATATAGTATACACTCTAACGTGGCCCATGTGAAGTCTGCCGGACGGGTAAGGAAACATGGACAGCGTGTAATGTTTATCGACCCCGGGGGGCAGCTCGTTGGTCACGTGACCTCTCTCCTTCAACTTCTGCCGCCACTTGGACTGCCATTTCTTCTCCACCTCATGCGGTACGTACTCTGCAGACTGACCAAGTTTTGGCGGTAAATCGGTATATTACGAGCAGCTGACGAACCTGTCCGGTACTGTTGGAGCTGAAACGTAGCAAGGTGAGGTAGGGAAGTCTGTTTATGGGCGAAAGTCGTCTCGACATTATCAACTTTCAACACGTGGGTGCTCGAAAGGGGTTAATTGTCCGAGCTAAGAAGGTCAAAGTTCAGCCGCTAGCGGGACTGCCCGTGAAAAAGATGCGGTGGTTCACTGAAGGAGTAAGTATCAACTCATCTATCATCCTGCACTAATGCGCAGTGTGTGTGACTCTGTGAGCTGCGTCTAAATCAACTGCCTCGCCTATGGTTTTGCGCGCTGGCTTTTTCCAATTAACGCGCAGCTTGTCTGCACGTGGGTGGTTACTTTCGCTCGCGTCCAGGTGTACCGTTGGCGTAGCGGCGCGGCTATAGTGTGGACGTGTGTCCTATCGTGTCCTGCACTGGTTCTCTATCAACTACTGGCTCTGTGTAATCCCCTCCATCCATTTACATGGATACAAGGTAGTATGTAACCTCTCTGCCGGTATATTCCACCTGTTCCCTCTTCTCCAGACTGGCTGAGTAGTGTCCTCTCTGCGAGAAGTTTCGTGTTTTCCTGTCTCTATCTCCTCACACTCTCCAACACTCTAGTCATATATTCTACCACATGCGCTGGTATATACGTAACTTAACTCAACTCATACTGTTACTCTATCCACCTTACACTCCCTCGATATCTGTTGGTAGTTGTTCTTCCAGTGTACAAGACTCGGTTATCCGTCATTTGGGGTGTTTTGAGACCGCTGCGGCTCCTGGTCGTTGCTAGCTATGCGTTGCTAGGGGGTGGAGCTTCATACTGCCTGGCGGAGCTGGCCGGCTACCATTACCTATGGTCCCCTCACCAGAGGTATGCGACTAGGAGTCGTGAGATATTTTAGAGTTACAATTTCTCTTTTTTTTGGGGCTCCTACTGCAGCTGTCGGTACTGTCTGAATGAGTATCTGTTCTTCCATGCTGCTCATGGAGCTTTCATTGTAAGTTGACTGATGTCGTAATATAGCCGGTTTCCTTTTCTACTGGTCAATGTTTAATGAAAAAAATGCCAGCTATAGTATGAGTGAGGTTCATTGTACCACAGGGACTGAGGTATGGAGTGAGGTACTATCTTCTGAAGGAGAGTTTCATGGTGTTCCCCAGCATCCAGGTGAGCTCACTACTGTTGTTGGCGTAAAATTTGTTGTTGTTGGCATAAAATTTGTTGTTGTTGGAGTTCCTTTCACAGCATTAATTCGCAACAACAAAACTTATCTTATTTTGCTGAGCGAAATTAACCTGCTATATACAGCACCTTTTATCCAAATTTCTCTTTTGTGTGTGTGTGTGTGTAGCAACACAAGCTGTTCAGACTGCGAGGTCATGTGACTAGTCATGTGAGAGAGGCCCTGACCAGGACACTAGGGGTAGGTCAGATATCTGGTCTCCTCACTGAGAGAGTGTCTCAATGCTCTCCTCTCGTCATAACAGGGGTTGAGGTATTTTTACCCCCTCTACTTCCTTCTGGGTGAGTCACTTTGATAGCATTCGACACGAAAAAAAATCTCCCTTTCTCTGTGTCTGTCTCCCCCCTCCTCTTGTCTGCCTCTCCTCTCTCCTCTCTTCTCTCCCCTCTCCCCTCTCCCCTCTCCTCTCTCCCTCTCCCTCTCTCCTCTCTCCTCCTCCTTCCTCCCTTTCCCTAGGCTACTACCCTCGAAATAGGGTCATAAGACTGCTGGGACTACAACTGAGGTTTGCAATATAATACAGTAGTGGATACAACATGTACATTTACTCTTTCTCTGCATAACTGTTTGTGAAAAAGTTTGGGTCTATTAGTACAATGGGATATAGTCCATAATTTTCTTACTTGCTACAATTGTTTCCTTGGGAAATGATTTCTTTATGTATGACTGCGTACTGTATGTCGTATTAGAAGTTGAAGTTAACTCGCTCCCATCCCCCCTGTCTCCTGTAATTCCCTCTCAATCTGCCAGGGACGACGTTCGGCTGACATCTCTCTCCTCTCTGATGGACCTGGGTCTGTTTACCTCACTTCTCGTTGCCGGGACGACGATACATGTGGGGTGGAGCTTCGGACTCAGAATATTCAGAACTTTTCAAACGCAGGTATATAGAGTGTGTGTGACAGGAAACTAAAAGATGAAGCATTTGTGATTTCGTAGAAATTCATAAAGAAACTACCTTGTACCATTATATAAGGTGGTCCCAGCCCACTAAACTTTTCGTAAATGACACAGAAGTTCACACGTTTTACACAATAATAAAATGATTGAATCAGGGGTATATACAATGTATAGATCTGTGTGTGTGTGTGTCTGTGCAGGCGGTTCAGTTCCCGGTGGTGGCTACGTTCTCGGGAGATAGAGACAGAACTCTGGCAGTGTCCCTCACATCACGAGCCAGTCCTCTAGTCAGAGTGAGTGTCTCCTCTAACACACACACACACACAGCTCCCCTCTCTCTCTCACCCCTTGGCCTACGGGACTCGGCAAGGTTTTGCCAGGACGAAAGTGTAACTTTGGGGATTGAGCTGATTGAAAACTTGCACATTTACTCCATGCTTGTGCCTATTATAACTAGGAAGAATGGAACGAGATGAGCAGTTCAATTTTCGTGCATGTTTACACATGTACCGCAGTGTGCAGTGCCTGACGTAAATATGGAAAACTTTGTTGTCTGTTTCTCTCTCCCTCCCTCCCTCCCTCTCTCTCTCTCTCTCGCTCTCTGTCCCTCTGCAGTGTCTAGGGTTCCTGGATCTCCACCAGTTGGCCCTGCACTCACACTCCCGTAGAGCAGAGGTGAGCACTTGGCTTTGTCTCTCTCTCTGGGTTAGACCATAGTGTGTACATCTGTTGGGGAGGACTTGCATGTTAACTAAAATCTCCTTCATCTGAGAAACAGCGGTGCTGGTAGGAATCCAGTCTCCCGCTAGTAGCTCGCAGAGAGCCTGACACGGGCTGCTACAGCAGTAACCATTGACTCTCCACTGTACACGACCGTGTCGTATACTGTGCTCCAATGTGGCTGCAGGTGTTCAGCCTCGACGTGGATGGGAAGCCGGAGATGTGGGAGGTCGTCAGTAGAGAGTGCCTGGCTCTGGTCCACGACCTCGCGTCCAGACTCACTGCCAAGGAGGGCGGAGTCTCCACAGCCGGCCCCGCCTCTTCTTCCCCGCCCCCCTCCTCGGCCTCGCCCACAGCTCCATCTCCTACCTCCTACTCAACGGAGGTTAGGATCTGTAAGAAGTGTGGGTGCTAAATGTCCAACTGTCTTCTCCATTCTGCAATTTTAAATGGAGAATATTTTTTCTATAGCAAACAGTCGCTATATATATACACAAACAAATTTCACGGTCTTAGAGAGGCAACCAAAAATTTTACACTTTAGAGAGCCAGCCACAAATTTTACACTTTCAGAGAGCCAGCCACAAAATTTTACACTTTAGAGATCCAACCAGAAAATTACAGTTTTAGAGAACCAAGCACGAAATTGTAGGTTTGTGGAGTATACAAGTAAGGTGCAGAAGTGAATTGAGGTGTACTTGTGTATGTTGACTGCAGGGTCTCCAGCGATGTCCTCGGAGAAGGGTTGGCACGAGCTGCCGGCAGGTGTTCTGGCTCCTCCTGGAGTGTCTCGCAGGATGGCCAGCAGCGAGAAGACTCGACTGTGGTCCTACTCTCCTCCAGGTACGAATCAGAAAAAAAACATCGGACCGTCCGTAGTTAAGACACCACCCCTAGGAACGCACAGTTCAGCTCCCCCGATTGAACTTTTGGTCGACAGGCTCTCTTAACTGATCCCTTTCCCCCAAAGGTTTGGTTTGAGGGGACTCAGACACGCCCCCAGCTCGCCCAAGCCACACCCACATCTGTGGAGGTGAAGAAGAAGAGACAAAACTCTGACGTCACTTCTGAAGAGGACCCCCGACAATCTGAGGAACACTCCTTTCTTTAATTACTTCTTTCAGAGGTGAATATGTAGTATGCTAGTATAAGGTTTTTGCAGCATTTTGTCCCCATACGGAAGAGTAACTTTTTGCCTGTATATACAGTTTCCAGGAGCAAAGAGTCAGGAGCTTTTCTTTGATTCGAAACTTCAAGTCTGGGCCATTACAGGTAGGCACAGACACACTCCAAATTGCATGCTTTGTTAGGGGGAAAAGCTGTCCTTATGAGTGAGGTGTCCTTATTTCAGGGATGGAACTGTTGTTGGAGAAAGAAAGGTTTCTTTATTAGAGGAGTGTCTTTAGAGAGGGGTTCCGCTATATACTTTCTGTCTATGACATGTCTATGTGTTTGCAGGTATCTCGCAGCTGGCAGTGACCTCATACACAGAGGACCAGTATGGAGTGGTCCAGAGAGTAAGACGCCCAGTATACTAGTCCCTCTCAGTTCATACCAGTTTCCTCTCCCCTTCTCTCCAGACCCTGCCACACATTCTCAGCACTCTCATTGTACTCTCCAAGGTTAGTATATATAGCTAGTTAGCCAACCCAGTGAGCCATCTCTGTGTTGGCAGTGAACTTCACATCTGCTCAGGTGCTGGTATTCTTCACTCTATTAATAGTTAGACGGCATGTCTGTGAAATCATGCTCACTTGGAGGACACGTGTGCTGGATGAGCTCTCGCTTCAGAGTATCGTAGGGGTTGTGTTGCACCCTAAGTATAGAAACCTGATGGCCCTTGCATTGTGGCGTTTCAAGCGCAGTGAGGACGCTACAAGCAAGGACACCACAACTGTCAAACTATGCACCTACGTACGCCCCAGAACTGCCTTTACCATACCGTCAAAGTCTGACCATCGCAGTGTAGCTGTAAAAAGTGTATATATTAACTGCTACAGGAGATGGACAGACACGTGAAGGCTCCACTCAGTAATGCCAAGAGCACTCGAGATGCCAGACTGGCTCTGGAGATGAACGGGAAATTCGCCGTCAAAACAGGTCAGTCCAGATTATCCCGCTTTTCCAGTCTTTCCCGCACCCATCCCAGATGATTAAAAAGAACGTGCATCTGCTTTACCTGATTCTGAATCAGTTTGTGTTGACCTTGCAATTAATGATGGGACTGGGAGCACATGATCCATCCACTACT